GAAAGAAGAAATCCACCTATGACAGCAGCCTTTGTCTATGACCATGAATTCCAGCTTTCCCGTAATTTTCTCTTTCTGATGGGTTGCCCAGTGGATTTCAGACTTGCTCAGACAGTCCCCATAATTGTTAAATATTCCTTGTAATAAACCTCTTAATATACACACACACACACATCTACTAGTTATGTTTCTTATGGTTGAAAATAAATCTAAGAACACATTAATTCCCTTAGAAGTACCACTGCTTTTGCATTTTTCATAGTCATAAAAATAACATCTGATTAGTGTCCTTCTAAATCGGGTGTTGGCAATCTTTTCCTAGAAAAATATTTAAAAATTAGAAGTATATAGAAAGGGGATAAAATGAAAATGCAACTGCCCAGTCGGCTCCTTGGTTTTCACTCTAGCTCCAAAGAAGGCAATATGATTAGATGTTCACAGAGCTTTGGATAGAGAGTGAAGCTCAGCTGTCTATGCATTATCATCAAAGAGTCATGCCACTTGGAATAAGTCATATAAATTCTCTGGAGTTCTTTGTGTTCATCCATAACATAAAGGATTTAGACTATGCATTTCTAAAGTTCATGTCCATTTACATCACAAACACTAGGATTAGATTGTTCTTTATCTTCCTCTGCACCTGATTTTTGTGGCTTTTTACCTTCTTTACATTTCCTAAATGGAAGTATTAAAGTTTTGCTTAGATTTCTTTAATTTCTCTACTTTTTCCTCAATCTTACATATGCTTTTGTTTTTTAACTGTCAACTTTCTTCAAATTACTTCCAAATCTAAACAAATTAAGTTGCCATATCTAAATTAAGTCCTGTGTTTTAAACTGCCTTCTTGACATTTTCAGTCAGATGATCCACCATCATATAAAACAGTGTGTCTAACACTAATAATCTTATTCCTGACAATTGCTTTTCTGCCTATATTCATATTTCTGGTATAATATCTCTTTCTGGCATAGAGTCAAACCTTGTAGACATCTTTTACTCTTCCCTTTCTTTGTCTCTCAAATCCAGTTGGTTGCCAAGTTCTGTCAATTCTCCCCAGTATTTCTCATATCTTTCAGCTTTCCATTTTTAAATTCACTTTCCCTTGGTCCATGTTCTCATTACCTCACATGTAGACTATTCTAATAGCCTCCTATTGGTCTTCCATCTATTACTGTAAATACTGCTGTTATTTTAAATTTCCTAATACATAGTTTTGAGTATGTTTTCCCCTTACTCACAAATAATTAATGCCTTCCCATTATCTCTCAAGGGGATAAAATGAAAATGCAACTGCCCAGTCGGCTCCTTGGTTTTCACTCTAGCTCCAAAGAAGGCAATATGATTAGATGTTCACAGAGCTTTGGATAGAGAGTGAAGCTCAGCTGTCTATGCATTATCATCAAAGAGTCATGCTACTTGGAATAAGTCATATAAATTCTCTGGAGTTCTTTGTGTTCATCCATAACATAAAGGATTTAGACTATGCATTTCTAAAGTTCATGTCCATTTACATCACAAACACTAGGATTAGATTGTTCTTTATCTTCCTCTGCACCTGATTTTTGTGGCTTTTTACCTTCTTTACATTTCCTAAATGGAAGTATTAAAGTTTTGCTTAGATTTCTTTAATTTCTCTACTTTTTCCTCAATCTTACATATGCTTTTGTTTTTTAACTGTCAACTTTCTTCAAATTACTTCCAAATCTAAACAAATTAAGTTGCCATATCTAAATTAAGTCCTGTGTTTTAAACTGCCTTCTTGACATTTTCAGTCAGATGATCCACCATCATATAAAACAGTGTGTCTAACACTAATAATCTTATTCCTGACAATTGCTTTTCTGCCTATATTCATATTTCTGGTATAATATCTCTTTCTGGCATAGAGTCAAACCTTGTAGACATCTTTTACTCTTCCCTTTCTTTGTCTCTCAAATCCAGTTGGTTGCCAAGTTCTGTCAATTCTCCCCAGTATTTCTCATATCTTTCAGCTTTCCATTTTTAAATTCACTTTCCCTTGGTCCATGTTCTCATTACCTCACATGTAGACTATTCTAATAGCCTCCTATTGGTCTTCCATCTATTACTGTAAATACTGCTGTTATTTTAAATTTCCTAATACATAGTTTTGAGTATGTTTTCCCCTTACTCACAAATAATTAATGCCTTCCCATTATCTCTCAATGAAAGTATAAATTAGTTAAGTCATCATGTCCCACTATTAATTCATATATTTATATTCTACCTCATTCCACTATGAGTTTGTGGTAGCTTACAGGAAACACAATCAAATAGTAAAATGCAAATAAAAAATAGTGAAGATCAAAAGCAAGAGTGATATAGGTTAGAATAGATCAAAACTGAGGATAAGACCATATATCCTATAGGTTTTCTGTTATTGAAACATAAATTTGGCCCTGAACTTTTAGGTAGGCAATGTGAAAAGGAAAATTGTTAAATGATTTAATTGTCAGTGAGTAGAGCATAACTTTTCCTTAGGGAAAAAAATTTTTTCTTACACTTATTTCTATAAGTACTTTCTCATGTGGCCTTTCAAGTGAGGGCAAGAGAAACAGGAAGGATGAGATCTTCAACATCATCATCAGAGGAAAGGCAGTACTTACTTTCATAAGACTATTTTTAAAACAACCCTCAATGAAAGTAAGATAGAGGAGGGAAACGGGACAAGGGTCATGCTACTAGAAAAATATACTTAGCCTGTGAATAAGACCCAGTTTATTCTTTAACTTAATCTATATGCTGTTCTTCCTCTACTTCTAGCGCTGTGGTAGGAAGCTAAGCCAAGAAAAGGGACAATGTTTCTTTTAAGGCTTTAAGAACGCAGAGAATACCAGGGTGCTTGAGTTTGAAGCAATGTAACAATGTACGCCCACCAGGATCCAGTGATATGGAACAGCTAGTTGATCACAGTCATGTAGGCCCATTAGTTTACAAGAGGATATCCTTTACTGAGATGGGTTAAAACATAACTAGCGTTCTGGCTGAACCTATAGTACACTAACAGCTCCCTCTGCAACATTCGTGGGGGCTGACTCTCCTTCACCCTTGTAGTGAATGTGTAATAGGCATGGTCCCGCTGAACTTGGGGCTCAGCCTTTGGATAGGAATCCGCTGAGCCAGGGCCGGCACCAATATATTGCTTCTTGCTAAACTTCTCGGTGCCCCGACTCCCTGTTCGTAGTTCCCACAGTTTCTGCAACAGCCCCTTAATGACCTAAGTAACTTTGTAACCAGGATGAGAGACAGACCTCTGGAATGTAAACAAACCCGTGCAGATCAAGAATGCCAAGATGGGATCAACACGGTCACCTAAATAACCCTTTTCTTAAGACAAAACTTCAAAGGAATTATTAATCACATGTATATACCATGCCGACCCCTACCCAAAACACCCTATAAAACCCCAAACCCTAAACCCTTAAGTGCACCTCCTCTCTGAGGTTGCCCACACTCCCTTCTGAGTGTGTACTGTCTTATCAAATAAACTTTTTTGCTTCATAAGCCTATTGCACTTTATCTCTGAATTATTTTTTCACAATGAAGACAAAAACTCGCCAACCTGCACCTCCAGTGATATCTTCATCACTTTGTTATTCCATTCAGTTTTCTAGTCTTAAATGTAATGCTTTTCTTCTCTCCCTGTTTTGTTTCAGACCAGGAGGGAAATGGCTGCAGGAACCACTGAATAGGGAAGGATTTGCACATGTCTGTTGCCTGGATGACCTGAATGGAACTGTGACCATTTGTTCTTTAGCAGCCTGCCCCAAAATTTCCGTTTTTTGCTGTGGTGATTTCTCAGAACATCATCTCACTCCATTCAGTGCTCCGTGGCTCCCCCAAATTCTGGAGTGGTGGGGATATAATTCCCTTGTCATACACATAAAGCAGACACTGGACACGAGGTGATTCTGTCTCTAGGAGCTGGCAAAAGATCTGCCCGATGACAAGCAGGCGTTCAGTGAACTTTGCTTTCCTCCCTCCGTTCTTCCTTGTTCCCTACTGCCTTCAAGGGTGCTGACATTTGCTACTACTCTCGCTTTAATGAATTCCTTTCTTGCTGGCACTTGTTCAACCTGACAGTAAATTCTTTCCCCATCAGTCAAGAGCCCGCCCCTATCCGGGCTGAGGTTTCACCTAGCACACAGGGAGAGCCGGCCCCAGACTCGGCTGCCTAGCAACAAGAGCAACACCTAAATAAAGCCTAGTTATACAAGAGTCTAGGGAATTTGTGTTGGGGAGAGAATGTTTTTGATTGTCCATTCTGAGGAGGGTCCTGAAAAAAAGAAGGTCTAGAATTCATCATCTTCTCAAAGCACCTCAAAGTCTCAAATAATCATGAACCATCTCTCAATTTTCTAGAAAATTTTATGAGTTTTATTGTCTGACAGGACCTAGGCAATGTTCCAGCGGGAACCTTTTTATTCTTCACATATTTGTCATGAACCTACCCTATTAGCTGGAAATCAGGAACTCTGTATGAACTTGCTTGTTACAGAATCCAAGTTTCTAAATAGTCCTTTCTTATTCAGTCCTATGTTCTGTGTTATTTTTCTTTACAGTTTACTAGTAACACTCACGTGCCATTTGTTGGTTCAAATGTATTTTTCTTAAATAGTAACAACAGTATTTTTCCAGGGAATAGGAAGCTGTCTTTAGGTTCAAGAGGATGGTAGGGCTCCAGAGTAGTTTTTTCTATCCTGTCCTGTAAAATTGTGCTCTTTATTTTTTAGGCATTGAATTCAGTGGGTGAAAATCAGGCATTTGCAAATATAGTCTTCCCTCCCCTTTCATCTCAATTTAGTATAATTAAGAGAAAAATTTTAAACCCAGATTTATTGTGCTTTGGAGACCTTGATTTTAAGAAGCATAGTAAGTCTGGGTATCATACTAGTGACAAAGCAGGGTTCAAAATGATTTTGGTCAACAGATATGTGAATATGTAGGTTGGCCCAAATGCTATGAGTTATAAAATGACTTACAATTGAGATTCCATCCAAAGCTTTCAGTTCTGGAAGATGAAATATTACAAACAACCGGTAGTTTTCTTGATTCCATACAATAATGTTTCCATACATGTCTAGAATGACCAGGTTACATAAACCCTAGGTAATAAAAATACCTACATTTAAATACAGATAGGCAGATATTTATTACTCTAGCTAGATTTTTCCCCTTAAGAATTTATCCATCCTTTACTTTTAATGTTTAAGTTACTCTATAATTTCAGAGTGGTTTGAGTGCTTTAAGTGTACTTTTTAGTGCTAGGGTTACCCTTTCAGACAGTAAAGTCTAATTTTGTACAGTATCTCAGTGGTCTATTTTAAATGATCAGAATCCCTTTTAGGATGCTATGCTAAATGTATTATCTATCAGTGGTAAAGACTTGGAGGGAACTTTGTTAAGTTTAAAAGATACTTTATTTATGGAATAATGACCTATTAAATAATGTGTATGTGTGTACACAGATATAACAGGAATGAAAACACTGCCTTCTGATGAGGGATAAAACTGAAGTGCTTTTGCTTCTGGAGGGAGCAGCAGAATTCATCTTAAGGGAAAAATATGCTTTCTTATTAGACAAGACATTTTGATGTGCCTTTGTTGTGAAGGCAGGGCCCTGAGTGGATATGGATGGGAGAGGTTAAGACAAGAGAGAGTAAAACTACTCTGCATCATAATATCAAAAGGTTTATTTTGTTGCTATCATTGATTTGATAGTCTCTGCAGCTTTAGAAGAAGTTACACTGGGGAGTAGAATGGGAAGACTAACAGTAAGCCAAGACAATGGAGATAGTTTTGGTAGGAGATAAAGTCCTAGAAATATGGTAAGAACAAAAGGAAAGAAGCCATTGTGAGTTTTAGAGGTAAGAAATGGACATTGAACTTTAGAAACATTGAAGTCCCACATTACATTTGAAGTGAACGCTTATTCTGTGCTGTAGTAAGCTTCCATTTTATTCAAACCTTCAGTAAAGTCTGTTATACAGTATGCTTGAGTTATAGGTTTCTTTGGGAGAATTAAAGAGAGCAAAGCTGGAAAAAGTTGACCACAAAGGGTTGGAGCCACCAGTAAGAACTAGTAAGCAAGAGATAATCAAGAACTGCTCTGAGAACAGGAAATATTAAAGAATCTTACTTCCTAACCAGGTTGGGTAGCCCTTGGAAATACTGAGGAAGGCTCTGCTTCTTAAGAGGAATGGGGCTTGGATTATTTTGAGTACTAAAAGAAAAGTTACCCTAGGAAGTTATTAATGTGGGGACACTAATCAGTTACACATAAATATGTTTGTATGTATACGTAAGTTGAATGCAAATACATTTTAATAAATCCTACTGTTCTTGATTTTTATTTTCTTCTTTACATTTTTCTGTATTTTCCAAATTCTATACTGTGAATATAAATTACTTTCATAGTACAAAGAAACAATAAATATTTTAAAAATCAAAAACATTACCACACCAGTCACCTTTAAACTGTAGATCTCCTGATTGAGAGGAATATAGTTTTTGTTTATGTATAATTCAATTAGAGTAAAAGCTTTTTGCAAACCACTCAATGAAGTGATTCTGTTGTTCTCAAGAGAAAGGGAGTGAAGATGAAGCATGTTATCAAAAGTATGTTTTTCCAAACCAGTGAGAAGATTATTATTCATACTGAGGCGAGTTAATTTAGTCAGCTTGGAAATGCCTAGAAAATAAAATTCAAAAAAAGATTCAGACAGCACTGAAAGATGAATTTAAAAATTAATTGGCTAGTCATTTTACTTTTTCTCATTTTCTAAATTCAAGTGACTTTAGGGATGCTATAATATTAACTGTTATTGTTTTTCTCTTTTGTTTAAGAAAGATAGAATGTATATAAAGTCCCAGCTAATATATTAAATTCCAATTTTGGATTTCTAAGAAGATTCATCCCCCTTAGATGTTAAGGGAGGTATAATGTTGGAATTGTTGAATTTTGCTTTCAGATAACCTGCAAATGGTGAACTAATTAAGATCTTCACCATCACAATAGCACAAAGCTTAAAATAATCACCACCCCCCATTTAAAAACATTCAGTGTAAGGAACTAAAGGACAACACTTAAAAGTGCTTTAAGACAACTTTAGAAAATGCCACCTCTCACCATCTAACCTGTATGTACATTTTGAACTTTAGGCATTTATAATTGTATTGTAGAAAGGTGCGATTGAAAGATAAAAACTTTGAAAAGCAACTTTCAATTGTGTCACTACTAGATATGAGACAATAGGTAAATTATGTAAAATCACATAACCTCTGAGACTCATTTTCCTGTACAAAATGGACATCCTGAAATCTACTCCTAAGGAGTTGCAGAATTAAATGGAATGGCACTTGAAAAGTGTCAGTTGTAGCTTTTGGCAAATAATTGGTCCTTGATAAGTTTTACCCATGCTTGCCTTTTACACCAGCCTCTATCAAGGGACTATGGAGCATTGAAATCAATGTAGGGCAAATTAGTATAAAACCATTAAAGCAAAAATCCTTAAATGGATAATAAGCCTATATGTGTCTGGAACTAAGAAGAGAAATATCTGTTAAAGTGTGGTGGGGTAGGTATGTTCTTTGAAAAGTGGGTATAGGGAAAATATAAGTTGGAGGAGTCTTCCTTTCAGTAGGCTTATGGAGGGGAATAAAAAGGAAGTAGGTGCTCAACTGTACACAGAAAGCAAAGCTAACACCGGACTGTATAGAAATGGAAGACTGGTGATGGTTCTCAACACAGACACCTGTACTGCCTACAGGTTTACTCAACTAAAATCTACAGAGGAGAGGCCTGTAAATCTGTATATTCATTAAGTATCTCAAGTGATTCTTATGATCAAGCAAGTTTTAGAAGCATATTGTTAACAGCCATTAAAATAAAGTAGAACAAATATTATACAAGCTGTTTTTAAAGATATTTAATACTTGCTTGGGCCTATGTAATTTTTTGAAAACTTTTCTATTTTTTGGAAAAGGTAGTAAATACTAAAAATACTAAAGGTAGTCAATGCTAAAATTGCACATACCAAAAATAATCTGACAATTCAAAAGTGAATAAAGTATACATAAATCTCTTTTCCAGCCATGATTTCCAATTCTTCTCTCCTTGACAAGGACAACCCTGTTACCAGAATGCATACCAGAAATATTCTATATCCAGATAAGTATCTAAGTTTGTGTGTGTATGCACACCCAGACATTCGTAAAGCTGCTTAATTATATGTGGATTCACATAAAAGGTCATATAGTACATTTGATTTTCAACCTCTAGTGAATACAATTTTCATTTTTGTTAGTCTTCAAATTTCCAAATGTAACCTTAATTCCATTAATCTGAAAAACAAACTATGTTACTTAATTTTTTTCAAAGCACACCTCATTCATTGATTCATTCATTTGTTCAACTCTATACAACTCTCTATTGCCTAGTTTGCAATGTGCTAGGTTTGGTAAGAGAAGGCAAACACTGGCACAGAGGAGAGGAGAGGGAAGGCAGAGGAGGTGAAAGTCTTCATGTCAGGCAGAAAGAGACATGAGCAGCATGGAGAGAGAGCAAAGCCCGTTAAGTCCACTAAAAGGGACTCAAAGAGTTAACCAGATGAAACGAGAGAGCCAGAAAGGACTCACAGAGTTAATTAATTAGTTGAAGTTCCAAAGAGCAGGGAAATGGGACAAGGGTTATGCCATTGTAAAATCTACTTAGCCCAGTTTTTATTCTTTAATTTAATCTATATGCTGCTCTTCCTCTTCTTCCAGCCCCTTAGTCAATTAAGTAACTTTGTACCAAGTCCAGGAGATAGGCCTCCAAAGTGTAAATAAGCCTTTATGGATAAAGAATGCTGAGATCTGGATGAAAAAGGTCACCTAAATAACCCTATTCTTGAGATAAAACTTCAAAGGAAGTATATGTCATGCCTTATGCTGACCCTTACTCAAAAGGCCCTATAAAACTCCAACCCCTAAACCCTTAAGTGTGCCTCCTCTCTGGGATTGCTCTTTCTTCAAGTGTGTCACTCCTTCTGTTCTACTCCAGATAAGTAGGCAGGGGCTACTGAGCTCTGATTTGGACTTGCAATTTCCTGTCACCTGGGTGACCTGGACAGGCCTACAGCTATATGATTATATTCTTTAATAGCCTGCCTGAAAATCTCCTTTCTTTGCCTTTGGGAAGTTTCCAGAAAGTAATCTCACTCCATCCAGTGCTCTGCAGTTCCCCCAAATCCTGGGGTGGTAGGGACTTAGTTCCTTTGTAGTGCAGATTCAAGTGGACACTGGATGCTAGTTGATCCTTGCTTTAGGAGTTGGCAAGGGACATGCCCTATGCTGAGCAGGAATTCAATGAGCTTCCCTTTCCTCCTTCCTCTCTGCTGCCTTCAAGGCAGCTGCCATCCCCAGCTATTCTCTCCTTAAGGAATTCCTTCCCTACCTTTCACTCTGACTTCCCTGCATCTCTGAACTGAATTTCTTCCCAACATTTGGGCTAGACTCATTATATACGGCAGCTGTCACAGGTTCCACCCACTAATAGGTGTTCAGAATGCTCTGCCCCAAACCCTCTTGGAACTGCCCAAGAGAACTTTCTCTTTAGAAATTCTGTCCTAGTGTTATGGATACATTTTTTTGCTATTGTTAGACACTCATATTTTAAGATTTTGGAATTCTCAGATACCTTACCTTCTATCTTTGTGATGCAATTTCCATCTAATGTGAGCTCTTCCAAGTTCACACAGGATTCTAAGCCTTCCATTTTAGTGAGATTATTGTTGCTGAATGATGCCCATTTCAAATTTTCCAATTTCTCTAAGTTTGTGATTTCAAAGAGATGCTGCCCATCTAAATTCAAGGCAGTTATCTGTAGAATAATTCACATTTTATGTTACTTTTGAATCTCATCAATAAATTCAATGTTATAAAAAGGCTAATGAAATGATCCAAATGTGGTAATATCAAAGGAATTCCTTCAGAAACTAAAGATATTATGAAGCTCTTAGTTTACAAAAGAGTAAAATTTCAGAAGACTAACTCTAACAGGGACTTATACGACATTTTGGACATTGTGCTGTCAGTCAGATTTCCACTGCAGTGAAGGGCTCACCCCAGCTGCTGGGAGTGCTGTCTGCAGAAAGCCGTCAGCTGCCAGCCCCCGCAGGGACAGCCTCAGCTGCAGAGAGCTGCCTTGCCAAGGTCACACTCCTTCCCAGGTTGGCTCACATCCAAGGATGGAGGGATATAAAGGCCTGGCCATCTCAGTCCAACTTAGGACAAATATAAAGGGCCATTCTAATTCTAGAACTCCCCGTGCGGTCAGCCAAGGCTGTCACTGGGCTTGCAGCACAGCTAAATATCTGTATACATCCTGTAATAAAAATAATGCCACTAATATCTTCCATTTTTAAGAGTCATCTTCTTTTAACCTAGCTTCTATTTTTGGTAAGAGGCAGAAGGGTGCTTTATGTAGTGAGAAGCTGCTGGTACTCCATAACCTTTCCCCTTATTCTTGGCTGAATTCTGACCAGTTCCTCTATTTCCTTGCCAGGATTCTTGATCCCTTTTACCTTGGCACCCAAACATTTGGCTTGATCTCTGGCTCTGAACTTTGCTTGCTTGTTTATTTGGAAATATTATCAGAATCTACCTTTTGGTTTTACAATCTACCTTTATCCTAAATCTCCCAATTCTATGGTGACCACTGTTGATGCCTAGTTCCCATGACATTACTCACAACTTCACCTATTTAATTTTAATTTGGCTCTTGCAATTTTCTGCCTTTTACCTGTGTCCTCCTCATGATACACAGACCAAAGCTGATGAAATATCAATTGAAATAAAGTTTTTACACAATTAGCCTTTACCTTCAAGTACCAGTTTCCGCTCAGTTGTGAATGTGGTCCTAACACAATCAATAATTTTAAAAAAATACATTTGCCTTAAAACTGTTTTCAATATCTACTTTAAATTACATATTTCATTCCTTTTTGTTTTAGCAGATATTTAGCCATTACAAAATAATATTTATAAAACTGTGAAAAGATTCCTGTAATACAAAACCCCATATAATCCATCCATGAAACCAGCCTAAGAGCTAGAATATTCCTACTATCCTGGAAACTCCATGTGTGACCTGTTCAAATCCTTTTCCTCTCCTTCCTCTCAGAAGTCATCACACATCTCAAGTGAATCAGTCCAGACCCTACAAAGCAATCAATCTTAAATTCTGTATCTACCATTCACATGCTTTCTTTATAGACCTATGTTTGTGTCCATAAGAAACACATCATTTAGTCTTGCACATATTTGAACTTCATGAAAATTGGATAATACATATGTATTCTTCTATGACTTGTTTTGCTCATTATATTTGTGAGATTCATCTGTGCTGCAGAATGCAGCTGTAGTTGATTCATGTCATTGCTCTACAGTATTTCCTTATCGATTCTTCCATCAATAAACACTGGGGCCGATTTCAGTTTTTTGCTATTATAAACACTGTTACCATGACTATTCTTGTGCGTGATCTTCAGTGTACACATTCAAGAGTTTATTTAGAGTATATAGAACTTGCTAGGTTGTAGGGTATGTATATAGCTTTACTGGATAATGCCAAATTGTTTTCCAAAGTGGTCGTACCAGTTGTAAACTTTACTTCAAATTTTTGCTAAAACTTGATATTGTCAGGCTTTAAAACTTTTGCAGGTTGGTGGCTGTAAATTGGTAGATCACTGCACTTTTAATGTTCATTTTCTAGAATCCTAATGTGGTGGAGCATCTTTTCCTAAGTTATCTGGCTGTTCTGACTTCCTCTCCAATGAGGTGCCTTTTAAAAAATCTTTTGTTAATTTTTGTTTGATTGGTTGATATCTTTTTCCAGACATATTCTGGATCTATAAAGAACATCTTTTGTCAGTTAGATGTGTTATAAATTTCCTGGTATGACCTTTGAGGAACAGATGTGTTAATTTTAACAGACAAATTCAATCTTTTATTGTTTATGTTGTTTCTTATGAAATAAATTCTTCCCTAATTCAAGGTCATAATAATGTATCTCTGATATATTCCTCAGACATTTTGGGTTTTGCCATTGACAGTGATGTCCTTAATGCTCTTGTCCCAGTGCCTTTTATTGACTAGCCTTTCTGATCTGCATAGGCAGCTCTATTATTTATCAAGTTTCCATGTATGTGTGGGTTTATGTTGGTCTTTATATTCGGTCCTATTGGCCTATCTGTATAACTTTGAGCCAATTCCACAAGATCTTAGAGGATTTTGGTAAGTTTTGATTTCTGGTAGGGAAAATCCCCAACTCTTCTTCAGGAGTTAATTATATGAAGTTTCTTTTCTTCATTTTGTAAAGATCCAAAATTAAACATTACATTATTTAAGGAATTATATTCAAATACCTCACAAAATGTAAATAACCAGACAACTAGAGTGGAGATATTTAGGATGCTGAAGCAAATTTGGCCAAAGTATAGATTCTTAATCTGGATAATGTAGGTATTTCGTCTCCCCTAAGCTAACAGGTTTTGTTTTTTTCAGCCAGACATATATAATATTAATACTAGGTAAATAATTAACTAAATGCTTTCTTAAGGTCTCTAAGCTTATCTTATCCACAGAAAGTTGCTTATTTTCACATCATCTCTAGAAAGGACCCTGCTGAATTCAGATTGACTAGAGAAAAAACAGTTAGTTACCCACGAGGTATTTTTGGGGTAGTATAAAGGGATGAGAATCCATATAACCAGTTGGTATTTAAATGGGATACATTTAAACAGAAAAAAATACAAGTGATGTGATGGTTTTATATTGATTTTTTTATTAGCATGTTATGAGAGAATATAAAATCTTAATAACAAAAAAGAGTATGGGAAATAATACTTGTATATTCTAAATAGCAAAGGAAATATTAAGGAGTAAAATCCAACCTGAGAAATCTTTGTTCTAGCAATAAATTTCATAGCTGCTGTTGCTTCTTCTTCAGAAATGAGGAGGCCATCTAAATGAGTAAGAGTCTTTAATCTGCCAATAACACTCAGCCTTAATGTGGCTGGCTTGGGAAAAATAACCAAAAGTTAATTTTTACAAAACATTACTTACATTATAACAAAGAAAGGAGTGCCTCTTCCCTCCCTCCCCTACAACCCCAAATTATACAGCTCCCACTTTATAATATATATCTAAACATAGAGGCTTTACTTAATTTTTTACTTTTTTAAGTATCATTGATATACAGTCTTATGAAACTTTCACATGAACAACATTGTGGTTTCAACATTCACCCATACTCACCCCCTTATTGCAGTCACTATCAGTGTAGTAAGATGCTATAGAGTCATTACTTTTGAATTAATTTTTAAAATAGTTGAAACTAAACTATATTTCAGAATTAATCTGCTGTTTTGTTTGCAAATGGATGGGTCTACTCTTTTGAAGGGGGCAAGGGGATTCCATAAGCTGTTGAAAAGTGACTGGTGAAAAGCACTGAAGAATAGCTGCAGGGCCTCCCGTTTATCTAGATCAACGATTATCTAGTCAGCACCATATGTGATTCATTATGAATCTTGAGCCCTTGGCATCTAATTTGGCAATAGGGAGAGAGCTGTACTGTGATCATTCAGGAAGTCTGCTTTGGCAAAGAAAAATATCCTTCAATTTTACCAAGCAAAAAGAAATACAACATAAACATAGTAATATGGCCAATTTAACAGAGCCAATCATGCTTTAGTCCCTTTTTAAAATGTCAACACAGTATTGTATACATGTTAGAAAAGCAAGGAAGGAAGGATTCTTGGAATTATAAACTTGGGGCTTACTTTAAATGCTTGGAGATACCCTTAAATATATCATTAAATACTGAAATTTCATAGCATGAATCTATATTTTTTGTGGTGAGAAAAAACAGTGTTCAATCAAATTTTCATTTGGAACAGAACATAAGACTTTATAGTTTAGGTTTATTGGGGAGGAGGTGACAAATTTACTTCCCCCTTGATAGTATGTTTCTCTCATTGTATTCTATTATTGTTGGTCCCTATGCCTCATTAAAATAGGGTCCTAGCACATGTAAAATAGGGTCCTGAGCTATGTAAACTCTCCAAAGGTTTGCAAAGGGCAATGACATCTAACAGTCTTAAAACTGTTATACTCTCAAATTATGAGAGGTTACCAAAAAAAAGGCTGAAATGAAATTATAGCCTTTTCTTAAGTAACATTTGATCCACTTGATCACTATACTAAATTCAACTTATGAAATACTTAAAGGAATTCTAGTAAAACGAAACACAGATAGTTTGCCTATTTCTGATATTACTGAAGAGTAGTGAGGAAATAGCTTTGAAGTAGAAATGACTGCTTTTTTTATAAACATGTCTGTTGCATACCTTTTGCCATGGATTATGTCGAATATCAAGAGTGAGAAGACTTGTGATGTGTTTGCATAACACATCTATTTCATCACCAGAATTTTTCAGTTGATTCCAGCTCAAGTCTAAGTGCTTCAGTTTCATCAGACCTCTAAATCCCTCAAGGGTTATCACATGGTTATGGCTTGCATCCAAATATTCAAGGTTGTCCTGCAACACATGCAAATAGAACTGATACTAAAAGGATCATTGTTTGTATTTACAGAGTTTTTCTCTCTATGATTCTCTAAGTACTTTGCATGCTTTTTGGTAATCATCACAGAAAACCTAAACAGTATTTACATTGCAGTAATGGTGTCAACATATGCATTCTCCTGGAGTTTTATCTCAGTCATTCCCTCTTAATTCTACTTTACCCTCATAACAGAGTGGCAGTGTTAGTTTTCAAAGAAGAGAAGGCAAAGAGAAACTGGCAAGATAATTTGTTTCCAACAAACAAGGGGTTACCATTTCTTAATATCTAGGCTTTTGGTTTATATAATTAAACCCATAGCCTAGTTTAAAAAGGTTCATCCTTAGAGGTAGAAATTAAATCTACTATTCTCTAATTTTTTTTAAGTACATGATTTTTTTTTTGAGAGGGCATCTCTCATATTTATTGATCAAATGGTTGTTAACAACAATAAAATTCTGTATAGGGGGGTCAATGCTCAATGCACAATCATTAATCCATCTCAAGCCTAATTCTCGTCAGTCTCCAATCTTCTGAAGCATAACGAACAAGTTCTTACATGGTGAATGAATTCTTACATAGTGAATAAATTCTTACATGGTGAACAGTACAAGGGCATTCATCACAGAAACTTTTGGTTTTGATCACGCATTATGAACTATAAACAATCAGGTCAAATATGAATATTCATTTGATTTTTATACTTGATTTATATGTGGATCCCACATTTCTCCCTTTATTATTATTATTATTTTTATTTTTAATAAAATGCTGAAGTGGTAGGTAGATGCAAGATAAAGGTAGAAAACATAGTTTAGTGCTGTAAGAGGGCAAATGTAGATGATCAGATGATCAGGTGTGTGCCTATGGACTAAGTATTAATCCAGGCTAGACAAGGGCAGCAAGACATCCACGGATGCAGAAGATTTCTCTCAAAGCAGGGGGGGTGAGGTTCTGAGCCTCACCTCTGTTGATCCCCAAATTCTCACCTGATGGCCCCCCTGCGACTGTGCCTGTCTTAGGTTGTTCCTCCCTTGAGGAATCTTACCCGTCTCTGGCTAACCAGTCATCTTCCGGGGCCATACAGGGAAATGTAAAGTTGGTAAGTGAGAGAGAAGCCATATTGTTTGCAAAGGTTAGCTTTTTACTTCTTTGCAGATTTATGCCCTGTGGCTTCTATGCCCAGCACTTGTCTCGAGGTATCTTTACCACCTGGAGGAATTATGATACTCGGTAAATTCGATATGAGGCACGAATTCTATTTAAGGGTTGTAATTAGGAAGGAAGAAGAAAAGCTATAGATGTAGCATATGAAGGAAACTTGGGAGGATTGATTATTTCTTTGACATATCTTCTTGTATAGTACCTTAAGTATGTATAGGTTTTAAACTACTAACTAATTTGCACACACATATTAACATAATAGGAATACGGTGACATAAACAAAGCAAATCTATAATTACCAGCCATCTCCAGTGAAGCCAAGAAAACCATTTAGGCACCCTAGGCATTTGTGAAAATTTATCTATGATATGATGGATATTTTCCAACTGTACTTGAACCATCAGACAAATTAAAGCAGCCCATTTCTGGGATCTGTTCACATCCCATATGTTCTTTTAACCATAGATAGTCTATAGTCATGAGATTTTGGGGTGCTACAACTTGCACCCCTCCCAACTCCTGGTTGAGTTCCAACAGTACAGATCCAGTCAAATTCGTTGTCTCACTGTATGCACATGCCAGCCTAGACATCTCCCTCCTCCTTCTTATGGCAAGTCCAGGAGACGGTGGGCTGGATGCAGCCACAACCGCAGCATCGTCCGGATCCCTGTGGAGGCTTTTTGATGATCATCCCCCGGCACGAGTCCTCCAGAGAGTGCTGATGCCGGAAGCTCCTCCTCATATCGTATCTTAGTTCATTTTCTGGGTATCCAAGCTAGGCCTTGATCTTCTGCGTAGAAACAAACAGACCCTTTGCCCACACTTTGACATGCCCTCTATACCACTGTGCAGAACTCATTGGAGGTCAGCACACAGTAACTGCTTTTTTTTTTTTTTTTAATTTAGAGAAAGGAATATTATCAGAAAAGAGTACCTCCATAGCTGATCATCTGACACCCTTTAAGTGATCAACATTAAGGATATTTAAAGCATGCGTTGATCTTTGATTTACCAATAGTTTTATCCTGTTAAGGAGTAATCCCCCTTTTCTTTCTTTCTTTCTTTTTTTTTTTTAAATTTTTAATCTACACTTACCTGAAGAATACTATGTTTACTATGCTCTCCCCTATATCAGGTCCCCCCTAACAACCACATTACGGTTACTGTCCATCAGCTTAGCAAAATGTGGTAGAGTCACTACTTGTCCTCTCTGTGTTGTGCAGCCCACCCTCCCCTTTCTCCCTCCCCCCCATGCATGCTAATCTTAATACCCCCCTTCTTCTTCCCCCCCCTTATCCCTCCCTGCCCACCCATCCTCCCCAGTTCCTTTCCCTTTGGTACCTGTTAGTCCATTTTTGGGTTCTGTAATTCTGCTGCTGTTTTGTTCCTTCAGTTTTTCCTTTGTTCCTATACTCCTCAGATGAGTGAAATCATTTGGTATTTCTCTTTCTCCGCTTGGCTTATTTCACTGAGCATAATACTCTCCAGCTCCATCCATGTTGCTGCAAATGGTTGGATTTTTCCACTTCTTATGGCTGAGTAGTATTCCATTGTGTATATGTACCACATCTTCTTTATCCATTCATCTACCGATGGACATTTAGGTTGCTTCCAATTCTTGGCTATTGTAAATAGTGCTGCGATAAACATAGGAGTGCATCTGTCTTTCTCAAACTTGATTGCTGCGTTCTTAGGGTAAATTCCTAGGAGTGGAATTCCTGGGTCAAATGGTAGGTCTGTTTTGAGCATTTTGATGCACCTCCATACTGCTTTCCACAATGGTTGAACTAATTTACATTCCCACCAGCAGTGTAGGAGGGTTCCCCTTTCTCCACAGCCTCGCCAACATTTGTTGTTGTTTGTCTTTTGGATGGCAGCTATCCTTACTGGTGTGAGGTGATACCTCATTGTAGTTTTAATTTGCATTTCTCTGATAATTAGCGATGTGGAGCATCTTTTCATGTGTCTCTTGGCCATCTGTATTTCTTTTTTGGAGAACTGTCTGTTCAGTTCCTCTGCCCATTTTTTAATTGGGTTATTTGTTTTTTGTTTGTTGAGGCGTGTGAGCTCTTTATATATTCTGGACGTCAAGCCTTTATCAGATCTGTCATTTTCAAATATATTCTCCCATACTGTAGGGTTCCTTTTTGTTCTATTGATGGTGTCTTTCGCTGTACAGAAGCTTTTCAGCTTAATGTAGTCCCACTTGCTCATTTTTGCTGTTATTTTCCTTGCCCAGGGAGATATGTTCAAGAAGAGGTCACTCATGTTTATGTCTAAGAGGTTTTTGCCTATGTTTTTTTCCAAGAGTTTAATGGTTTTAAGTGCATGATTTTTAAAAATAATTTTAAAAAATCATTAAAGTAACATGTTGTTTGTTGGAAATTTGGAATATATAGTAAATTAAAAAAATAGAAAGCATGGATAGAATTCTATTGCACAGAAAGAACTGAAAACATTTTTTAATTATATGCACATGAAAACATTTTTTAATTATATGCACATAAATTTTTTCCAATATACAACAGAAGGTATTATATAGAATTTTCTATCCTTTTAACATGTCCACACATCATTACTCTTCAAATCATTTTTCATTATTGCATAATATTCTAATAAGTGAATCATTGGGATTGTATTACACATTTTATTTTGGACATTTATGTGGCTTCTAATTTTGGCTTCTATGATCATGATATTTCAACTGAGATCCTCATATTTTTTACAGGAAAGGATTTTAGAAATGGGATTACTGGTTCTAAGGATTTCTGTATTATTAAGATTCTTAATAAATACTGTCAAACAGTTTTCAAGGAAGTTTGTGCCAATTATTTCATCTAACAGTAGAATAGGAGAATGCCCATTTCCTTATATATCCACCAATCCACCAACCTTATTTTAATTTACATTGTTCATTACTAGTGAAATTGAACATCTTTCCATCTGTGTTTATATTAGCCATTTTAAAATTTCTTTGCTTATTGTGTTTCTCATCTTTGGCTATTTATGTATTCAGATCTTTATCTTCCTTATTTGTAAGAAGTCTTTAAGACTTTAATTTATTCCATTTGTTGTAAGTAAAATTTTTCTTTTGAAGTATATACTAACTTAGACCCAGAACAAAGAAGAGATAAAGAGAACCTTAATAAGAAATTTTACATCATATTAAAAAAAATTACTATAGATTGAAAATAAACTTGATTTCTTTATAGCTTAATTCACTTGTTTGAATTCAGCATAGAATTAGTTACTGTTGTATAATGCGTGGTTCATATTGTGGAACTAGCACCATTTATAGTGGTTTAGGTTTTAAAAGTGGAATGTACAGATCATTAAGATCTAAAAAATTTTCTAGAAACCAAATAGTGTTACTGACTTTTTATTCTCATGAGTAAAAATAGTACTAAAAAAGCCCTATTTACTGCTTCTTGAACAAAAGGATATTTGACAGTAGGAAGTATTAAGTATATAATCTTAGAAAAGCCTTTCAAATGAAATCAGTTTAGCTTTATAAAATTTCACTGCATAGAAGATGGCGACGTGAGTAGGGTGGTGGAAATCTCCTCCCAAAATCATATATATTTTAAAAAATACAACAAATACAACTATTCCTAAAAGAGAGACCAGAGGATACAGTACAAAAGCCAGGCTACATCTACATCTGCGAGAACTGAGTGTCTCACGAAGGGGGTAAGATACAAAGCTGTGAACCAGTGGGACCCGAGCACTCCCCCCACCCCAGCTCACCAGCAGGAGGAAAGGAGTTGGGAGTGGGGAGGGAGTGGAAGCACAGGACTACTAAATAACCAGCCCT